GCAAATGAGGAAGAAGGCGTGGATAGGAAGGTGAATCCTTATCCCTTTATATGGGCGGACGAAACTAAGCGTTCCCACTTGCCTGGTAAAACTCGCTTATCCACCAAGCGCCGTAATTGATGGCGCAGTTGGGTTACCCACGCCCATATTGATGAGAATCCCGTAATAAGGGGACACGATCTCTGCTTTGACAAGACGTGTCGAAAAACTGCCTCGCGTTATGTGCGGGACTGGTTAAAGGGAACGGTTCGAATAATCACCGGGTCATGACATAACGTCATACTGTCAAGACAAGTCAGCAAATTAGAATTGCGAAAATATTATTCTCTCTACGGTGGTATGTGGAACTTATTTTGCAGGGTCGAACACTATCCTCGTTTTCAAGTTCTTCTGTGATGTATTCGGAGAAGGAACCTGCCTTACAATGCCGAAGACAATACTGCACGCCGGACTCACCGTCATTGAAGTCTGGTTCAGGGGCTACTGAGGGAGTCCTGGATTAGGGGGTCTCCGGACAGCCGGACTATATCCTTTGGCCGGACTGTTGGACTATGAAGATACAAGATTGAAGACTTCGTCTCGTGTCCGGATGGGACTCTACTTGGCGTGGAAGGCAAGCTAGGCAATACGGATATGGATATCTCCTCCTTTGTAACCGACCTTGTGTAACCCTAACCCTCTTTGGTGTCTATATAAACCGGAGGGTTTTAGTCGGTAGGACAACAACAACCATAACATACAATCATACCATAGGCTAGCTTCTAGGGTTTAGCCTCTCTGATCTCGTGGTAGATCTACTCTTGTACTACCCATATCATCAATATCAATCAAGCAGGACATAGGATTTTACCTCCATCAAGAGGGCCCAAACCTGGGTAAAACATTGTGTCCCCTACCTCCTGTTACCATCCGGCCTAGACGTACAGTTCGGGACCCCCTACCCGAGATCCGCCGGTTTTGACACTGACAGCCCTCATGCAAGACATGGGCACATAACTTCTTATCTGATGGAATTGACTGCTCTATCAAACAAAGCTGAGGCGGGAAGGAGGGCACAACAACAGCGACGTACGGGGTGGATTGCACCTCCTGGTCATCATGCGAAGCTCAATGTTGATGCCGCTATCATTAAGGGATGAGGAGTAGCGGTTGGAGTGGTATGCCGAAGTGAGCAGGGTATTTTTCTTGGAGCCTCGGCGACAGTTCTTAACAACACTGATGATCCGGCGACACTGGAGGCTCCGACAGAAGATTTGAACCTACATCAACTACAACTTGCTTCTGATTGTGAAGGAGTGGTAAGAGACGTGGGACGTGGAACTGCTGCTGTGTTTGGGGCAATCATCAATGAAATACAGTTAAATTTATTGTCTTTTAATTCTTGTAATATAGTCCACGAGGGTAGGAGCTCTAATGTTAAGGCTCACAATCTAGCGAAGCATACTTTAAGGTTAGGGCTTGGCCCCCATGTTTGGTTTGGCCAACCCGATGATATTCATTTCATCCTTGTAAACATTATGGCGGTTTGAATAAAGCTTCGAGAGATTGTCTCAAAAAAAAAACTAACTATCCCCCCCCCCCCACACACACACACACAATTTCATGGGGGTGGGCCCCTCACTCCCCTAATCTCCAATCACATCTTTTCACGTTGCTTATTAGGTTAACTACGTAATTACCATTACGTAGGTGTAGCAATACTCAAAACTGAACGTGGTTGCTCAACAAGAGGAAGCAAAGCAAAAACATTGCACATCAGATTTGCAATCGTGTGGTGACAACAACCGGGCACTCATCGCAACAAACATTCCCATTGGCGAGGCAAATCATCAGCCTCTGATTCCCCAGGTTTCCGAAGCACTGACCATGGAGAATTAGGTCGAATACAATACATTAGCGACAGACTTGCACCCAAAGAGTCACAAGCACCATCACCACTAGCACCAGCACCAGCAGCGACTCCATTTTTCAATCGGAGGGAATTGTCAGCAAGCATCTACATACATAACCGACGAATCAACCCAGCCCATCCCATCCATGATCGGCTCTGCACAGCAATACACAACATTATCCCCTGCCACCCATGATCTGGTTAGCGGAGGGACACCTCACGCCCGCAGGCCACAACCCGCCCGATGATGATTCTCAGAGCATCGCAGAGCCAACAGGAGGGGAGGCCATTATTCGGAGCGGATCGATCAGGTTTATGATGATAGGGTCGATCGGATACTGTTTTCTGGTAAGCCTAGGCTTGGTTTGGTTTGGTTTGGTAGCCCTGCACATCGCTCTGCATGTATGTACCACAACAGATGTGCTATCGATCAGTGGCTGCCTTGTTGGTTAGTGGTCGGCACTTGACACATTGACACCACATTTGTGCGTGTTGATCCCTAGCTAGCTACCTGCACCCGCTCGATCATCACGGCCGGGTCAGGGTGACAGACGACAGCGCGCGTTGGCTAATTAAGGGGGTTATATTAGCTCTCATTGGACTCGTCACCAACTGCGAGTTAAGGAGTATCATCGCGAACCACCCGTGCGCCTACCTCCCGCGTTTGCATTTGCAGCGGATGATGGGATATGATACGGTCGACGGATGGATGGATGGATGAATGTGTGCGGTTGTGTGTCCGGCTCGCTGTCTCTGCCGCGGTTTGCACATGCGATGGCTGCGTGCGACTGGTTTAGGCGATTTATTCGGCGTGCGTCGGAGGATGGATGGATTCCCTCCGGCCTCCGCTCCGGCGGGGACGAAAGCTACTATTGCCTACCGCCAACGGTCGCAGCAAAACCGTGGCCGAACAGCAGTACGTACTTGTACTGTGCGCTTTTCGTACGGCCTTCACAAATTCCCTCCTCGTAAGTCACGTCTCACCTGCCCCTTCTAACTTCAACTCGCTGCGTCAGGGATCGCTCTCATGGTGCGCGTGTTGGTAGGTTAACGCGCACGTGTATCCGTTGTTTTACACAACAGTTTTGCTTAGTCTCAGTTCAGTCTAACTGAGACTTTACAAGTTGAGGGCACCGTGAACCGAGATTACAAGTTGCAGAACGACCCATACCTTCGTTCCTAGCTGTACCTGCGAGCTGAGCGGCATCTCGATCGCGGCCTCGCATGCATGCGGTCGGCGATCAGATCAGATAAGCAACGACTTTTCGCGCTCCGGAACCCATGCATGCATGCATGCATTTGCACACCCAGAGCTCCTACACCTACAGCAAGTTGCACTCGGCGCGCGCGTGGAGCGCCATGAGGGAGGCCGCACGCGGACTTTTCCATCCCCGGCCCGCCGCCACTGCTTTCGCCCAAGATATGCTCCCGGTCAGTCTCCACCGCTCTTCTCCCGCATCGAGGCCTACAGGATCGGCCGTGCCGGGATGCGGGATCCCAACCGCTGACCCGCTTTACCCCGATCCCTTTCGCTCCAGTCGGATTCAGTCCATCTACTCCATCCGTTCCAAATTATTCATAGCAAAAGTGGATGTATCTAGAATTAAAATACATTTACATACATCTATTTCTATGATAAGTAATTCAGCACGAAGGGAGTACTTGCCAACGATGTCCCGTGCCCTGCCCAAGCCGAGATCTCGCCCATGATATCTCAGCTAGTATACTGCCTGCAAGCGCAAGAAAAACACGCGGTGTGGACTCTGGAGCCTCCCTCCAACTTGACTCCCTTTTCGGCACGGGACACGACCGATTCCTGCCGATCCGCATCACTAGCACCAGCTCACTGTCGCTGACCGCGTACACTCGGACGAGTTCACTTAGACACGGCATGGTTCACACATGGCACGTCCTCTCCATCTCCATGCATGCATCATGGCACGTCGGGCCCGACTCAATTGGCCGGGGGACCCAACCCGACCGGACCCGGTACGACCAAAAGCGGTTCCCAACGAAAAGGGAAGCTAGGCACGTTAGTTTTGACCCGGGGGGCTGGCACCTTTACCGGATTCTTTATCCGATCCGAGCTAGCCTGCCCACCGAGGCCGGGCCGGGCCGGGCCGCTACCAAACTCGACCTAAACTCGTAACCAGAATACCAGATGCACGTCACCTAACCCCAAGTCCTAAATTATTGCCTCCTTCCTTCTAGACGATTTCCTCCTCTTCTAGGGTGTCTGCCGTGCTGCACCTACTGCCCCTAAAGTTCGCATACGCACGTACTCCTACCACAGAGTTGGTTGCTGCTAATTCCTTCCTCCCGCGTGCAGAAGCTTCTTCCATCGGTTCGAGCACTTTGCAAAATCCATCCCACACAATTTTGCAACAACTACGTACCTGCTACGTGGAGTTCGGGATCTGTTCGGTCCATTTTCGGTCCTAGCTTGAATTGACACGCTAGTGGTGTTTGCCGTACTACTGTATGGGTGTATGTATGCCACTGTGCGCCGGTCAATGGGTTCCGTATTTCTACCCGTCCAACAGGGAGTACACTAGTCGTAGTACTCTACGCAGCACCAACCTCTACTGAACCTAGCTGGCTCATAAAGGCGGACATCCTCCACCCGTACCCGCACCCCGCAGCGACGTCTGTCGATTCGTGATTAAAAATGCCCAGCCAACCCTGCCTACCAAACTCAAAGCTGTAGCGGTACGTGCCAAGTACGGGAGGAGGGCGGGAACAAAAAACACGCGGGCTCCACCGCCGCAACCGCACCGCCTCCCTCCCGCAACCACCACCCAACCCACCCCACCCCACCCCACCCCCGTCAAACTCACTACAAGC